TGAGTTAGCATTTTACTGTATATTTTATTTTTGATATATAATAGGATTTTTATCATAACGGGGCTGATCGGTCGGCTGCTGAATCACACATTTCTCACACGATCATTAGTGTAAACGTTGTCTCTTGTCTCTATCTGGGGCATCTTAAGTGAGTGAATAGTCAAGGTTTTATGTTCTCTGGTGCTCTGTGACACTTAAATGCTCCGTTTCCCTGAATCCCTTCACTTATTTATCACCAATTTGACCATCTTTATGATTTTTCCTGATGTCATCTTCTTATATTGATTTGTAGTGAAGGACGTCTCTCAGACCCAACAAAGGACACAGATTAGGCCACTGCAGGTGGAACCCAAGAGGAAGGAACCTAAAAAACAAACTGCATGACTCAGTTTAGCTTCAGTTCATCTTGATCGGCTGTAGTAAACTTTACTGTATGTCACACATGTTATGACTTTAGATGTGGGTCAGGGTCATGTTATCTGTGTGCAGGAGGATCAACCCTCATCGGAATAAGATAAGACAGAAGTGTATTAATATTTATTTAACATCAAGTAGCTCCTGCTCCGTTATGTCACATGCATTTTGTTTAACACAGTCTGTCTTTTAATTTCCTTGTACTTTATGTATGATGACAATAAAAGCATTCTAGTCTAATACACGGCAGGATTATTTTTATTTAACTCTACTATATCATATCATACGTATTGTGTCTCTACATACAAACATCCTCTCTATCTATAGTTTTTCACTGAGCTGCAAAGTCGCTGCTTTTGACTGCAAAAGTCAACAATTACAAACGTCATCTGTTGCCCATCTGTCCCTCAGAAGCAGGAGTCGTGTTGGCTGATCTGCTCTGAAGTCCCCACTGAGAGACAAACTGCTTACAAGCCATAACCGCCACCCTCCGCTCACTTCATCTGCACTAAAAGACCGACAGCAGATCCCACAGCAACAACCTGGCACATCTCCTCGACAGCATTTTGAAAGTCGACTTCATCACCTGCCAGACAGTCGCTAAACTTGTCTGAGATTTACGCCGAGCTGTTTTTATTTTCCTCTCACTCGGTTTCTCTCCCACCGCTGTCACATTACTGTTCTCACTGTAGCTGCTGAAACCAGCTTCAACATTGCTTCCTTTTCAGATTTAAATCTCATTCAGTATCTTAATTGGTAGACTAAATAACCTAAAGTAAAATCAGTAAAGGATAGATTATTTAAATCATCATTTAAAAGTTATGTCTCAGATGTTCCAACAGTCCCTTCAGTGCCCGATAGCCTGACATCACCACTGTCTGTTAAATACCTGCACATGAGCCTCCAACATCTTGTTAAAATATCTCACTAATCACTAATTCAGCAGTAGATTAAAGAAGAGAATATTACATGATATCTTTTACACGTATCGCATGCCATCATTAACTTGTAAGGCTGAGAGGAGCAGACAGGATTTGATCTGTGTTCTTACAAGAAAGAGCAATGACGTTCATGACCACATGGTGGCAGGATGGCCACAGTGTGTGTCACACCAGATAACAGACAGTAAACGTGGAAGCCTTTGTGTCATAAAGAAGTCAGACCTCAGGACCATCAGTGGTGCTTTTGTCGTAATGTAAATACATTTTAAAATAAAGGTAATGGCAAGAAAAACCATCAGTGTCTAACTTTGCGTTATATAAAGTAAAAAGTTTGAATAAAGAGTTGAGCTTGGTTCATGATTTAACTTTGAAAGTCCTTTAACACAAATTGCTTCTATGTGCTCTTGAATGTATGTGACTTTTATAAAGTAAAACAGGCAGCAGCAAACACCACAGAGTCTGAGGCCTTTGTTTATGTCAAACATGCTTTGTGAAGTCTTTCACCTTTTGTAAATTGTGTTACCATATGTTTTAAACCAGGCTGCATGGTAGCACCATCGTTGCCTTGCAGCAAGAAGGTCACCAGTTCGCATCCCGGTGAGGACACCCGGGATCTTTCTGTGTGGAGTCTCCATATTCTCCCCGTGCAGCGTGGGTTCTCTCCGGGTTCTCCGACTTCCTCCCACACAGTCCAAAAACATGCTGAGGTTAATTGGTGATTCTAAATTGTCTGTAGGTGTGAATGTGAGTGTGCTTGGTTGTCTGTCTCTAAGTGTAGCCCTGTGATAGACTGGTTACCTGTCCAGGTGAACCTGAGTCAGCTGGAATAGACTCCAGTCCAATTCGTGATCTTCTACAAATGGTGTTTTTTAATCGTATTGATCCCGAATGCAACCTGTTCCAGAGCAGCTCAGGTGTGCAGCATACGTTACATGATGATGTACCCAGATGGAAGCTTTACAGGTCTGACAACCCAAAGTTCAACCTGAAGTTACCTCATTAACCCCTAAATGTGCTTCTTAAAACAGGCCTCTGGTACAACTACTGGCACAAAATCGGAAACTGTCCCAAGTGGTCCCATATGGTCTAGCGGTCAGGATTCCTGGTTTTCACCCAGGCGGCCCGGGCTCGACTCCCGGTATGGGAACGACTTCCCTGAGGTACCCTACCAAAGGGATCAATGCAGTTATATCTAAACTGTTCATCACTATAAGAGCACTGCCAGATTTGGCATCTTGGAAAATGCAGAAGTTAAAATTTATTTCTGGTGTTTGGGTAAATGTCAGTAAAAGATTTGTTGGTTAAATGAAACTGTGCTCTGATTATCCAACAGCTCCTCTCCTCATAAACACACATTTCTGTTGCGTAGCTGGTGGCTCCTCCTGAGTTAATAACCAAAACTGGTCCGCCGTCTCGCACAGATTCAGAGTTTGGCTCCGACATCTTGGCTGATATTTGCTGAATTTGTTGATGCGGAGAGAATATTTTAAAAAAAGAAGAAGGGCTGAAATGAAATGGAAGCACCCTGATATCACTGGAATCACTGCACAGGCCAAGGAAATATGCAAACACATAAGGCATGTTGAATTTATTTCCCCTGCACCCACACATGAAAAAATGCAAACAAATAAATAAACACACAAACAAATACACACAAAAATAAGAATATTACAATACAAACACAGCATCCTGCATTCCCAAACCTGCATGTAGAACGGACACTCGGTATTACAGTGCAAAGGACAAAGTTTTCCCCCAAAAGCAAAGTCTGGAAACGTTCCCGCCAGTCGATTTGGAACAAGATTATTGTTTAATGAGGAAAGATCCAACACTGATGACATGTCCCAGAGACTACGCTTGAATTCGTGAGGTACACCAGGAGACAAACGTGCCAGATTCGATGGACGAAATATTGTTTTTATACCTTTTTCCCCGACGGCTACAGAGACGATATTAATATAGAGAAGCAGAGGAAGAAAGCGTCCAGTCAGACGTGCACAACATGCAGCTGCTGTGTGCATGCAGGACAACTATATTCATCATATCATCAATACAGGAAAACAGAGTCGGATTATTCAAATGCTACATTTTTTTAAACCTTCAAAAGGCGTCGTTTTTTTTTTTTTTTCTCTTTTTGTTTTTTAAAGAATAAACAGAGTTCTTTCTATACAAGAGCCTGGGATGCAAAACTAGAGAGAAAGAAATAAAAACAACAATAAATCAATATTCACAGCATAACAATTCGTATTCATCAATCATATGATATGTGTAAAGTCACTATGTACAAAAATAACATAAATACAGTATCTGATGAAATAAATAGCCAGTTAAACAACCATCTCACCGTCAATCAAGCGAAGCTACATCTCAGAGTGCAAAAAAAAAACAACAACTGCCCCATCCTGAAGCGTAGTCGGGTTCCGGTTACACACAGAAACTCGACCGCACGCTTCAGGCGACAGTTTATAAGAGCCAAATAAACCAAACTGCACAGAAACGCTGCGAAAGCTTTGGGTTAGTAGAGGTTATAACGATGTCCAAGCAGTAGAGGGCGATATTGGCTGACTTTACTGTGTTCACACTAACATGCTACTGTTTAGTCTACATGACCTATTTTCTGAAAGGAAAAAAAAGTGAAGCTCTCGTCCATTTTTTGTTTTGCTTTAAAGGAAATATTGAGATTGATATAAATGTTTTTTGGGGACCTACACTAGTGGAAGGCACTGACTTTTCTTATAATTTTCTATCATTCACGTGGACGTTTGTCGTTATAAAAAAGGTTTTTCGATCTCGTGGGAAGTTTTTAGTCACAGAATGAACCGTTTTATGACGGGAAAGAAAATCCGTTAATTTTTTCCATGTCTGCGTCTTTCTACATTAACGTTTGAAGGCTTAAAGGCGTGGCGCCGTACCCAGCCCGCTGAGGATGCATAGTGGCTTAGAGAGTCACCCTGCTGAGAGTGAAGCATGCTAAGCTGAGGGTCAGGGGTCAGGTTGAAGGCCATGTTTTTCTTTTTTCTATTTTTTCTATTTATTTATTTTTTTTAACACAGTTACATCCCAAGCTGAAATCATGCAAGTTTTATGCAGTGACCATCGTGACAGAAAGCGTTGCGGGGCTCTTGCTCCAAGACATGGCACGTAAATGCACAGGCAAACAGAACACAGACGACAGCACAGAGACACAAGCCCAGACACCTCTCTGTCACACTATCTGTATATGCTACATCTCTGTTATACCCACTGAGTGTCGGCCACCCTATTCCTGCAACTCTCGGGCTGTCTGAGGAAGCGTGACGTCATGTGCGCCACACTCTGGACTGAGGAATGATGAGCACACACAGCGACACGTAGCATCCTCGAAACCCTCATGCAATGCAACCGACGCGCTCTCCTCTCCGAGAAGACAATCAATCCCACCGACAAATTCTCGTCTTTCGCTCTCTCTCTCAACTTCTTGTAAAACTTCCTCATGCTTAGACACCTCCCACTTCAGTCAGTATCTCTTTCTAGTTCCACGTCGCTCTCAAAACTTTTTCTCCCAATTTTCTCTTGACTGATGAGATTACGAGGGCGTTGTCGCCCGGTTGGGGGGGAGGGGGTCCAGGTTCGACAGGCTCCCACAGGCCAACACACAGGCGTAGCTCAGGCGGGAAGCCTGGGCTCGATCTTCAGCGAGAGGTCGTAGAGCGTGTCCTCGTCCATGATCAGAGTCTTGTCCAGAAGGTACTGCGTCACCTGAAAACATGAATGGAAGGAGAGTGCAGTTCTTTAAACACTGTCATTTATCTCATTAATGTACATATAATGCCAGTGTTGTATTCTTTGTTTGGCTAAAGCTATTTATTAGGACTTTAGATGAAGATTTTATATTTATTCCTATTAACTCTGTTGCTGTCTTGTTGTTTTAAATCGTTCGTGTGTGTTTCATGTAATCCTTGTTAAGTTTCTTTTAAAAGAATGAATGAAATTGAATTTATTTCGAACAAATGAAAGGGAAAAAAATATTTTTAAAAAACTTTTTTTTTTTTTAAAAGAGCAAAGAAATATAATAATATCACATAATCAAATCATAATATTAACAAGTTCGAAAAAGGAGAACTATACACTTTTATATTTGACAGCCCTAATACAAATTTATTTGATAAATGTAGGCTTTATTTATCTATTTATCTATTTATCTATTTATTTATTTATTTAGTTAGTTAGTTAGCTAGTTAGTTAGTTATAATGATTTGGCGACCCCCCGAAATTATCTTGTGACCCCCATGGGGGTCCTGACCCCCTGCAGAAACAGTTCGGTCATGGCTAGAAGTTGAGAAAACTCAGCAATCTCTTATGTGCAGTGTGACGTAGTCATAATACCATAAATCATAAAAAAGAAAGAAAAGACCTGGTATCAACAAGTACAAGATTTTTCTAGGTGTTGTTGTTGTTGTTGTTGTTGTTGTTGTTGTTGTCGTTTTAAACATCTTTCTTTACTTGGCAAAAAAAAAAAAGAAAAAAATTCTAAAATTGTAAACTGTACATATGGAAATCTTTACATTGTTTTCTTTTTTCCTGTTTTCTTTTTCTTTTTTGATTTTTTAGTTTTTGTATAGTGTTATATAATTATTTATTTTATTTTATTTTATTTTATTTTATTTTATTTTATTTTATTTTATGCTACAGTGATAAAACAGTTTAAAATGTGGATAAATAAAGTTTATCCAAGTCTAGGTGTCAACAGATGTTGGGAATAAGATGGTGGCTCCACAGGTCAAAGATATCTAAATATCTGTAACTTGTTTCCATATTTGTCTCCTATCTGCTCTGCATAAACACGTCCTGTAGTTTAGCCTCCCAAAAAATTGCAGAATTTTTGTCACATAGCTGTTGGTCACAGTTTAGTCAGTAGTGGCTTCACAGCTGAACATGAGAATTTTGTGTTTTTTACAGAATCTGGTCAAAGCAGATGGTTCGTTTTTGGTTCCAGTGGAGTGAGACGAGTCGTCCGAGGAGCATCAGAAGGCTGAAAACCCGCTGATCCTTCATGTTTTCACAGCTTCCAGCTCTGATAAACGGTGTCATCTGGGCATTTTTAAAACGATAACCTGCCTTTCACACCCACTGGCAGGTTCTAGGGCTCAGAGGGTTGGGACGTCTTACACAGATGGACATCTTCAAAAGACCCCCATATATCAGAGGGATTTTCAATAATCTTCTCACAGCAGCAGCCGAGACCAGAACTTCCACAGAGGATCTGTGGTGTCGTCTTTATGAACATCATTTAAAGAAATCTTTTTAGAAAACTCATTTCTTTGATTATTTTATATCATAATTTGTTCGGTTTTTAATATTTTATGGCCCTCTGTTTATGTTTCGTACACATAAAATAGTGCTAATATAGTAAATAATGCTTTTTATTTATTACTCTAAATGTGCTATAAGTCTAATAGTGCTCAGTGTTGTTTCCACGCTGTTCTTGAATAAATAAAAAGGCTCTGCTCCTGGAAAAGACGAGCAGCACCTTGGCTTGATGCTCTATTCTGTACGGCGTCTGCTGGAACTGTCGGATCTCTCTGATGATGTGGGATATCTAAAAAACAAAGAATTCAACCTGAGAATTAAAGTTCAGCCTTCACGTGCAGACGATCTGCTTCCTTCTTGCATCTCTCTCGCGCCTACCATCCTCATCTTGGAGAAGTTAACGAGACCCTCCTCGGTGAAGTTCGGGGTTCCCTCCTCGATAAAGGCCAAGTCTGTGAGATACATTCCCAGGTATGGCACACATGGAGGGTTGCAGCTGGAGGAGGAACGACAAATAGTGTCAACAGCAATAAAAACACATTCTTATTTTCTCTCTTTTGGGATCTGCAGAGTCTCACTTTTTCAGCGTCTCCCTCAGGTTCTTGAATCTTCCCTCGGAGGACACGGTCTTCTGCAGTTTGTCCATCAGCGCTTTGCTCTGGACACAAACACAAGCAGATCATTTCAAAAGGTTATTATAAAGAACAAAGGACAGACAAGACAGTTGCATTAGCCCCTGATCCACTTACTCCCAATAAAATATGATTGTAATCAAATGGTAGGATTAAATTTGCCTGGCTTGGTGGACGGACAGACTGACTGCTGATTGGATGATTACAGCTTTAATCAGTTTAGGAGAATTTAGCAAATACTGGACATTACTGGTTTTCTGCGCTATCTTCTCTCTGAACTCCCTAATGGCAGGAAATTTACCAGAGAATTACAAATTTGCAGGCACTTCAGAGACACAATCCTTTTATTCTACCGTACACAGACTCCTCAGCCGACATGCCCTTTACATATTGATTTTCTGTTTTATATATAGCGAGGATTGATTGTTCCACCTGTTTGCTGATTTTAGCCCAGGTCTTCTTCAGACGGTAGATGGCGCTGCGATTGAGCGCAGACGTGATCTCCAGCACGCCGTTGTAGTTGTTGAGACAGCGACAGATGTCCGCCACGGCGACCCACTTCTCGATGGAGCTGGCCCTGGAGCCCACGTCGGTGTGGGTCATGATCTGGGACGCCACCAGGTTGCTCATCTTCAAAAGGGAAAGAGAGACATGTAGGAGAACAGACGGGACATTTACACAAGAGCTAAAAACAAATCTGATTAAAAGACCCGGTGAGGCGTTACATCATTGAAGTGTTGACTAGTTTTCATGATGTAGGGCGTCCTCTCCGTCTTGTCGACCTTCATCCAGCCCTGGCCCAGGAACTCTCTGAAGGAGGGAGGATGGAGATATGAGAGGCATCACACACACCAAGTATAGCACAGGAGTGTCAAAAATCTAAGTTATATTAACTATATCTTAGGATGTGATCACGTCCACAGCAGGAGTTGATAAGCACTGCAGAAATGTAGTTTAATTGCTTTAAATTTAACCCTCTGGACCCCAAAACCCACTAGCAGCCATGTTGTCTTTTTAAAAAAACTGCTAAAATTAAACCATTTGTTAGAGACAGAAAGAATCCTTGAACTTAAAATGCTCCAGTGGTCCTTGAATTACTAATCTGTCAGTAAAATTAACTAAAACTGCGCTAAAAAGTGTAGATCTACATGTCTCATGTCATTATATTTCTGAAGTAAATCATTTGTTTTAACTAGATTCTGTAAAAAACTAAAAACTCTGCACTTCCCTGTGCAGCCGGGAAATTATTAGTGTGACCAACAGTCATCTGACACAAATTCAATGATGCTTTTGGCTGAACTACAGGCTGCAGATTACAGGGGATAAGCATGAAAACAAATTAAAAACGGTTTTGTTGGAAAAAAAAAAAAAAAGGAAAGAAATTCAACTTGTGGTTGTTTCCACTGATGCATGACTTTATATTGCAGTTAGTTGGTTTCTGCACTGAGAAAATGAAGCCAGGGTTTTGCTACTTCCTGGCTGACATCTTGGATTTTTGGAGCCAGTGACACAAAAATCGTGGGAGGGGGGGCGGAGCCATAGGAGCAGCGATTGGTCAGACGGATTGAGAGGCGGGCCCTCTCTGCCCACCCACATTGACTGAAAAAAAATTCAGTATTGGTTTATTTTCAGATTGGCCACCTGGTCTCTGGATTTGACCATGAAAACTAATTAGAAAAAAATCCTGAGCTGTAGGAATGCAGTATTTCATGATCTGTGATCACTTCTTTTCCAATTCCAGTCTATGGGAGCCAGGGCTTTGTGGAGCCAGCAGCTAGTGGACGTAGTGATATTGCAGGTTTTTGACACTTCCGGGTTGCCTTCATTTTTCAGGGCCGGTTGCTACGTCCATCTTTTATACAGTCTATGGTCCAGAGTTTACTTAAAGTTCAGAAGGTTCATGTAAAATTTTGGTCTTGCAGAAAATTGAATATTTGGAATTGTAAAGTTAAACTGCATCGCCCTGAGTTGTCTTTGCTCTCTAGTTAAAACCCTGCTGATTGAAGCTGTGGTGATTAACTGGCTGCATAAAGGTGATTGCTGCAGTTTGCCAGAACGTCAGGAGAGGACTGACTCATAAGGAATGCTCCGGAAGACGATGTGATCCAGCAGAGTGATCTGCTCGGCCAACTCCATCGCCGAGAGGGACTCGAAACACTCTGCCTTCGGACAGTCCGCCTGAACACACACACAGACAAACAAAGTCATACTGCTGGCCCCATGACACAAATAACAAGGAGATATAAATATCTAATAAAGACAGAGGCTGTGATGAACATGGGTGCTGACAGGCCCCTGGAGACCAGCTCTGTCAGGAGAGGGTGTATTTAGTCCTCTGCCTGGAGGACCGGACAGCGAGTGTCGATCCAGGAAAGGAAATTTGTGTCTGTTTGTGATTTTAGGTCCATATTGAGCCGAGACGATGAACCAAAGGCCTTTGTAACTATTGACAACTGGTAAAGAGGACCAACCAGGAGAATGTGCATGAGGCAGGTTCACTTCCTGAAACGTAGTCATCTGGTGGATAACCACATTTAAACTCATATTAAATGCAGTTTAACTCACTCAGGTTTAAGCCACGAAGCAAACAGTCAGAATTTACTGCTGCTGATTTGGGTCAATAGGATCCTAAATGATTTATTCAGCGGCTCACGGAGAAGTTCTCTCACCATCTGTAGGATGTCCTCTATCCTCAGCTGGGCGTCATCCTGCTCGTCCTGAGAAAGGGCACTACAACACATACAGCTAAGAATGAAATACAGTCATACATACTGTGGTAGAGCAGAACGAAGGAGGACGATCACTTATAAATAACTACAAGAAAACCCGACGGCACAAACTCAACATTCAGGTTTAAAATCAAAAGGCTTCGTGTGCATGTTTCTGTGAGTAAAGCGTGTGCTGTACCTTAGTATGTTGGCGGTGGCTTTCCTCTCCTGAGGCAGCAGGTCTGGATCTCTGAGCACCTCCTCCAGGAGGCAGATCACTGACATCTTCAGCTCCCCGTTCATCTCAAAGTCCTAAACACAAACACAAGCTCACGTCTACACCTGAGCAACAGACAACTGAGCAAAACACAAACAGACACAGCGTGAAAATGTTCTTCTCTGATTTAGAGAAAAAGTTTGCTAAAAAAATCTCCTATAGTTAAATAGAAAAGGATTACATTTAGCCAACTGTGTGCAAAACAGTTTCTTAGCTGTTCAACTGGTGACAGATTGTCGACCACTGAGTTGATTCACACCCTCATGATGGTCAGACGATGTGAACAGCACACAGGCATCAGGGTTCAATAACGTCAGCTTTATTCAAATGACACAGAAGACTAGAAACAGACGAGAACAGGCTGCTGGCTGCTGGTATGTCAGAAAAAGAATAAATCTGTGCTGCTCTGTGAAGCCATTTGTGACTCAGCTGTGAAACGTTCATGTCACGTCACAAACCAATCAGGGATTGAACTGAACGAGGCTGAACTGCAGGATGTGTTTTAGAGGGGACAGAAATGAATGAAAAATCCATCCATCCATCGCTTAATCCTCACTAGGGTCATGGGGGGCTGGAGTCTATCCCAGCTGACTCAGGGTGAAGGCAGGTTCACCTGGACAGGTAACCAGTCTATCACAGGGCTACACTTAGAGACAGACAACCAAGCACACTCACATTCACACCTACGGACAATTTACAATCACCAATTAACCTCAACATGTTTTTGGGAGGAAGCTGGAGAACCCGGAGAGAACCCGGAGAGAACCCGGAGAGAACCCACGCTGCACGGGGGGAACATGGAGACTCCACGGGTGTCCTCACCGGGACGCGAACCGGCGACCTTCAAGCTTCACCTTCAACCACTGAGCCACTTAATGAAACATGAAGGCAGTAAAATATCTGTAGTATGTAGAGCCACCAGTACTGTGGAAAATGTTGTTCATGTGGATGCTACCTTTTTTTTTTTTGTGAAATACATGATCAAAGAAATTAAACTTTAGTATTTCTTTATGGTGATTTATGGCATTGAAACTTCATCAGACTGTGCAGAACACATCTTCAGTTTTCTGTACTGTTTCTACAGAGGTGCAGAACTTTGGACTGCAATAAAAAAATTAGCCCACAGTGAGAACAAATGAGCAGAAATGGCCAGAAACTGCTTGGAGTTCAGCGGGTTAAGGCGCTAATATTTGACACTGATGCACAAATCCACTACTACTATGAATCTCTGCCGGGTGTTGGTTTGTAAGATTGTGCTAACAGCTTAATAAACTGTGACATATTAAAGAGAGACCACAGCTACCACCGTATGAGCAGCTTCAGCTCCTGCAGCTCTCCAACATGAAGAAGTCTGTCTCCCATGTGAACTGCAGGTGCTTCCTTTCTCCCAATTAATGGCTTCCTCTGGTCTCCACACCTGACCAGTCATCAGTCACAGTTCTGTGAATCCTCCTCCTCGCTCCTTTACAGTCGTCACACTTTCTGTTCCTATTTCCACTCCCACCCCAAATTAACTCCTGTTCAGAGGTCGGTCCTAACGAGCTCTTCCTGTTCCTCCAAAAGATGAACGCTGAGCGGCTGAACATGTATGTGTTTGTGCTCGTCTGTGTGTTAATAAGCCGTCTGAAGTAAACCAGATCGATGCAAGTTAGACCGGGAGGATCTCTAGTCAGGCAATTACCTTGATGTTCAATTAGACACCGTGTGTTGGGCGGACGGGTCGGCGGGCCGAGCCGGTTGTCCGGTTGGAACGGCACCAATGTTTGGGGGCGTGTGTTTGTGCGCATGTGGCTGTTTACACGATCAAGTGAGGGCAGCCGAGCAGAGAGAGGACGCATCAGTCAGCCGCTTTTAATGAGACCACAGGCCTGATCACTGCAGCAAACACACACACACACACACACACACACACACACACACTAATGCTGGAGGTGCAGACAGACCTGTGAGTGTTTGGAGGCCCAGTGGCGCAGCACGTTGAGAACTCTGTTAGTCGCAGCTCGACGAATGATGAACTCCTTATCGCAGGTTCTTTCCGAGTTAGTAAACACTAGAGGGAGGGAATTAAAAGCAAAAGCAAATAGTTTTAATACATAAATGCATTTTTAAAGGCGGGTTCTTACACAAACTGAGGGAAGGATCATCCACAGACCTCACTGTCAATAATTATGATGATATTTCTAATAAAAACTGTTCACAGTGAAGTGTGTGGATTATTGAAGACTTTTCTGCATTAAAATATAATCAGTGGTTCTCAAACTTTTTGACCCCCAAGATAACATCAGTTTGTGTTCTTGACCCCTCAGTTTGAATTTTTAATAAATTATGAGTAATAACTTTGTTGTTTGTGCATTAATGTGTTAAAAATTAATGTTTTAATTCCACAGATTCATCTCTTTACATTTATTTATTTATTTCTCCGTTATTTAACCAGGTGTGTTAAATGAGAACAAATTCTCATTTACAATAACGACGTGGCCAAGAGGCAGCACAGAGCAGAAAATACAGTAAAAGGAATATATCCATTAAAAAAAACAATACACAAACAAAACATGACAATAAAAGGCTTGAAGATAAAATAAATTAAAAGCAGGTACAGGACTCAGGAAGTAGTGCCTTCACCATGTTTTTAAATGATGATGAAGGTAAAAAAAAAAAAAAAAGGTGAGTTTGAGTGTTTTCTGTAACTGGTTCCAGTCGAGAGCTGCAGAAAACTGAAATGAACAGCAGCAGCCAAAAATAGTGCCGGCTTTGGGGATGAGGAGGTGGATGATTAACACGTTAATTTTCTCTTGAATGAATGAATTGAATTTATTTTGAACAAATGAAAGGGAAAAAATATATAAAAACAAAAGAAAATAATTTTAAAAAGAGAATAATAATATCACATAATCAAGTCATAACGTTAATATTGTTATTCTTTTTTGAACATGTTAATATTAAGTTCAGAAAAGAAGTGGGAAGAAGTATAAACTTTTAATTTTGACAGCCCCAATACAAAGTTATTTGATCAATGTAGGCTTTTTTCTTTTTCTTTTTTTTTTTAAATTATTACAATGATCTGGCGACCCCTTGAAATTATCTTGGGACCTCTATGGGGGTCCCAACCCCCAGTTTGAGAACCACTGGTATGGAACAGAATTCCTTTATTGAAATTGCGTATGATGGAATTCATGAAATCAGACAAGATTTTTAACAGTGCAGTAGGCAAATATAAAGTAAAAAAATCTGGTAGAAAATTGCATGTGAGTGTTTGTGGACACAGGGAGATAGCTAATATGGTAAGGACAGCTTGTTTAATGTATTAAGAGCTATTTTTAAAAAATGATGCTGCACTTCTAGATAATGCACTTTGCTGAGCACATACAAAAAGGAATTGGCTTGAAGGAGTGCAGATATTACATACAAGGAGCAGCTGTATGTAAACATGTGTTATATTATAAACTGTATATGATCACCACAAAGTCACTTTATCTCTATTAGACTGAGTTAAAATGGCAAAAATATCAGAAATCTCAAATCTGGTTGAAAAAAAACCTAAAAGAATGTGCTTATGAGAAACAGTTTAGTTGATCAAGGTGATAATATTTCTAATGTTTAACTACATAATGTACTGGATCCCACAGCAACACAATGTAGTTTATGGGCTCGTTTCACATGTTATATCCTGATAGCCACTAATGAAGTAACAAGGTAAAAAATTAAATATATCCACCAATAGTTTTTAAATTTCACAGCTTTTGGAAATGATATCAGGTGAAAAAATCCTGACTTGCTGAAAACCAGACACTCTATGATGTGATTGTGACTCTGACAGCTTCATCTTCTGATTCACCACATCCACATCACATCTGCTCTTTACTGGAGGTTCTACAGTGTGTGTGTGTGTGTGTGTGTGTGTGTGTGTGTGTGTGTACCTGGTGGTGAACCGTGTCCTGCTGCTGCTGTGGCGATGGCGAAGGCCGAGGCCGGAGAGACGGAGCAGCGTGAGTTCTCGCCTGACTGGACTGAAAGCACACAAACGTGTCATTATCATCATCAGCAACAACAACAACAACGCTGTTGTACTTCTTGCTGCTGTTGTCGGACCTCGAGAGAATTAACTTTCATTTCATTCTAACACAATGAAACGTGATTACAACGACTACAAACTTTTTGTATCCTGACTGATTACATTACTTTATCTAAACATCAAATTATAATTTTTAGTGTTTTTTTTTCATAGCAACAAACCTTTTGTGATTTTTTTTCTGCGTAAACCTAATAAATAGATATACACGGTAATTTGCTTTAATAATGTTTGATGAAATATTCATAAAAACAGAACCTTGGTCCTAATATTAACATCAAAATCCAATTTAGAACAAAAGCAGAAGAATGAAAAGTTCTTCTGTAAATTACATCCTATGTGCTCAATTTTAATGATTATGACTAAAGTGAAATTTGCAGTAATTTGCTCTTTTTTCCTTTCTTTTGCTGGGTATATGTGTGGGAACCGACTGTTCTTACTGAGTTGCATTTAGTTCTAACTATTTTGCATGAACAGAGGGTGTTGCTCGCAGACAATGACCACTTTTATTTCGTTCATATATCTGTTATATTTGGCTTAAACATATAAAAAAGACAAACATACATTTTCACTATGGTTAATGAGTGTTTGGGGTATAGTTTATAGAAAACGTGAGATACAGATGAAATAAAAATGCACTCCTTCATCTTTTATTGTCACTTATTTAACGATATCATCTTTATCGTCGCCATCAGCATCCAAACTCTAACAAGCGCTCGTCGTCTCTGCAGCTGTGCTAAACTCTCTGTGCCATCCAGACGCTCGGCTTCACTTTAAGGAAAACCCTCCCAAGAGACAGAGTCATAACCACACTGCCTCCCAAACAGAGCCACGGGCCATGCAATAGTCTGCTCTACCACTTCTGTATTATGCTGCTGCAGCCTCTGGGGTCAGGGATCTTTGCCTGACTCTGAGTAGCCTGTCAGTGGGCACAGCGCTGCCCACTGCACGGGCCTCTGGCTGTTGCATTGTGGTATCGTCATGAGTCACAACCCACACAGACACACACACACACACACACACACACACACACACGGCGTTACCTCCAGGCTGTCTGTAGCGGAGGTGTCGAGGTGTGGAAGGAGAGCGACACGGAGACATGTCTCCTGCTTCGCTGCCCTGTGGAGACTCGGGGATGATTTTCTCCAGGGAGACTGACTCCAGCACAGCTAGACAAGATCAACAGTGATGATGGTTATGGTGATGGTGGCGGCCATTACCGTCGCTGCTCTGCTGGATAAAACGCTTTGCAGTATAACCAGTGGACATCATCGAGACTCCTGTTCATTTTGTGAATGCTTCAGTAGGTGTGCCAGTAAATCTTTAGTGAAATTACTTGTGCTGTATGTTGCTGCATTCATGTATCTGCTCCAAATATATTAGATTTTATAATGAAAACATTTGAATGGGAACTTAATGGAGTAATAAGTCAACTCCATCCGATGCTATTGACAGATATTACAGCAGAGTGTGTACATCTGATCTGAATTGACGATACAACTGCCAAGGAGTGACATCTGAAGAGAAAATAAACAAGATGAAGCATCTTAATAAAGTGATGAGCCTCTAGAACGCCGTCAGCGCTCCTTTCGACGGACTGATCGACGTTTCTGCAACTTCTCTCTAAAAGATATCCCTTCATTTGGTATTTTATTGAGTACAGTCTCACATTTAAGTCCAAAATCTCTCGTAGGCGTACAGCTGGAGTGAGATTTGGTGACTCTGGGTGCTGTGGGGTATACAGTCCTCCTCAAATGTATTCATACCCTTCCATTAAAGAAAAGACAAAATTCACAATATTCACTCAAATACCTAGAAACTGAAAAAAGTGATAATAAATAAAAATTTGCTAAATTATAATTTAGTGAAATAAGATGTTACTTTTGAATTTTGGTTGAAAAGAATAATTAAAAAAAATAGAACTGTCCCAGACAAATTAAAGCCCTTTGCTGATGAGCAGTGGGACAAAATCAAAATACCAATTTCCACTTATTTCAGTGACAGCTTTACGTTTTCCTTCTTTAATGAGAGGAGTTTGTTCTGTATGCCACTCGGCCATCATCATGGCTGCATACAAGCATCTACATTTATCAGGTTTCTGCATTTATTTATTAAGTGTTTTCCTCGAATTTTCCCTGAATTGCTTTTTTTTTTGTGCCGTAAGTTGTAAACAACACCATCAGGATCTCTGCTACAGACGCTCACGTTGTGCTCCCTCAGTTAACAAGTTGCTTCGTGCCAACAAATTCTAATTTGGAACTTGATATATTTAGAGATTTTAAAACCTTAACAGGCCTCATGTGATGCCTCTTTTTAACATGTGCTACGAATGTCACGCTGCTAATTTTCATGGCGCTCACCACAGAGAAAGGCCAGAGAAAGACCATCAGACATATGCAACGGATACACACAAACACAAAAGACTGATTAAGAGCCGAGAGACAGTACGAGGGGAAAAAAAAACAAGAGTAGCTCGATGGTACAAGTGCTAATGGGTCTTTGTCTGCTTGTGAGCAGCTGTCACCGACCAACACACACAAACACACTCGGCATGTGAGCGGCCATGTTAATGAGGGTCTAACTGCAGCTTGTCCTCGCCGCGCTGCTTCAGATGCCCCGACGCTCTCCCTCTCCAGTCTGAGAGGCCTCTTTAACGCCGCTATTAGAAGATCTGAGGCGGTGCGGTGGGAAGTCAACTTAGCCGACTCAAGCACACATATGCGAGGGGATAATGACGTCCCACCAGGCGCCACTTCTGTCCTCACGGGGAGCGCTTCACGCCGTTTGATGAGTGACCTCCAGCTCATCGCAGACATTTCAATACACCAGCAGGTTCAGCCATACAGCGGGTTTGTACAGTAGATTAAATATGCATTAAAAGGACACAGTTCACACATTATGTTTGTTTGCTTAGCACAGACGTAGATTGAACTTGTAGGCAGAGTGTAAATAATCCGCCGGTGCTTCCACGTGTGTTTTGTTTGAACAACAATCATCTGATTTATTTTCTCGAGGCACGTCACCGCAAACGCCTCCATAATGTGCTAAGAGTGGCAGAATTTATGTTACCGCAGTAGTGTTTGTGTAAAGTAAAGATTCAGAATTTAAAAGGTGTAAAGTTCTCAAAGACGACACGGGAGGATTTGTGATCTAGAAACGCTGCTTATCCTACAACAAGTCCGGGTTTAAATCTATGTTTTGCAAGTTTGGAAGTTTGTTTTTCTTCTTGTCACATTTAAAAAGTCAGAAATGTGATGAAAAATGGATACAAGCACGACGACATACAGATAAAGCCAAAAAAAAA